ACGTGGTCCTCCTTCTTCTTGCTCTTGATCAGGATGTCGTCCACGTAAGCCTCCATAGTTTTTCCTAGTACGTCTTTGAACAACATCCGGATCATCCTCTGGAAAGTAGCCATGGCGTTCCTCAGACCGAACGGCATGACTACGTAACAGTACACGCCGTCCGCTGTGACGAACGCCGTTTTCTCTGCATCATCCGGGTGCATGAACACCTGATGGTAGCCTCTGAATGCGTCCATGAAGCTGAGCAGCTCGCAGCCTGCTGTCTCATCCACCAGCAAGTCGATCCTTGGCACCGGATACGGATCCATCGGGCAGGCCTTGTTGAGGTCCGAGTAATCGACGCACATCCGCCATGTGTCGCCCTTTGGGGCTAATACCACATTGGCCAGCCACTCCACGTGGATGACCGGCCGGATGTGCTTGATGCTGAGGAGCGTAGCAGACTCCCTCTTGATGAAATCTCGCCGCTCGGCTGCCATGTATCTCTTCTTCTGTTGTATAGGTTTGGCATCCGGCCGTACGGCGAGTCTGTGGCATATGAGGTTGGGATCTATGCCGGGCATGTCCTCCGGCCCTCTGGCAAATAGGATCTTGAATTTCCGGAGGACAGCCATGACCCCTTCCTTGATCTCAGGTTCAAGGTCGGCGCCGATGGACACCTTCCTGTCCGAAGGGTCATCCAATTCCACCTCTTCGAGCAGGGCAGCCGGCTCCAGACGAGCGTCGAAGTCGGCCTGTCTGGATTTCTCAGTGATGCTGTTGACCCGGGCTTCTCGCTCTCTGAACCTCTCCATGGCCTTGGTGTAGCAGGCCCTGGCCATGTGCGGGTCCGTGCGGGCCACCCCTACCCCAGTTTCAGTGGGGAATTTGATGCATGAGTGCCGCACGGAGCATATGGCCTCAAGATCCTCCAGGCCGGGCCGGCCCAAAATTGCGTTGTGAGCACATTTTAGGCGGACCACGACGAACGTCATCCGGATGCGAGTGGTGTGGGGTCCATCCCCGATCTCCACGGGAAGGCCGATGGTGCCTTCCGCATCGATGCAATCTCCCGTGAAGCCGGAAAGAGGGGTACGTAGGGGAGCCAGCTGATCTTTCCTCAACTTCATTCCCTCGAACGCCTCCCAGTAGAGGACGTTCACGCTGCTCCCGGTATCAACAAGGACGCGCCGGACGATCGCATTGTTGACCTCCATGCTGATTACCAACTCATCCCTATGAGGGGCCGGTGACATCGGTAGGTCGGCTGGTCCAAAGGTGATGGCCTCCACCTTGTTCTTTTTGGCGGGGGGAGCTGATATGGAGCCCACGTAGAGGGACCTTTCAAACTTCTTCCGCTCCGCAGGCGTGTCCCCAGTCTCAGCGCCCCCAAAGATCACCTTGATCTCCAATTTCTTCTTTCCGCCGTTCGGGCCGAGGGACCCCTCCGGACGTTTATCAGCACTCCGATAATCTACGTCCTTCGGTTCCGCCTCGCGCCGATCGTCGCGGCGCCATGACCGCGATCTCGGGTTCGGCTGCCTCGGGCTATTCTTTTTTAGCAGCTGGGTGAACTCGCCCAGGTAGCCTTGCCGGATCAGCTCGTCGATGGCCAATCTCAGCTGCTTGCAGTTGTCGGTGAGGTGGCCGACCCTCTGGTGGTATTCGCAATACGCGGTCTCATCAAGACCCATAAGCGCCTTCTTGTCTTGGGGCTCCCTTAGGATGCCCTTATCTTTGATGGCGTCGAAAATCTGGCTGACGGGGTAAGCCAGAGGGACGTGGTACTCGTCCGGACGTATGCGGCTGGCCTCCGGATGAGCCTTCCACGGAATCATGCCGCTGTCCGTCTTCTTCTTTTTGTTTTGGGGGGATGGTCCGCCTCCAGGGCCGAGCCTATCCGCCAATTTTCGAGAAGGGGCTGCAGGCGCGCCGTCCCTCAATCTGATCTCCTCCTCAATGGAGGCATACTTCTGCGCCCGAGCCAGCACCTCAGTGTAGCTGGTGCTGGGATTCCTCCGAAGGTCCCGGTATAGGTCCCCCGTTGCCAGAGCACTGGTGAACAGATTTACCCCCAGCCGCTCGTCCAGGTCATCCACCTGGAGTACTTCGTCTCTCCACCTGACCAGGAATTGGGCCAGAGGTTCGTCCTTCCCCTGCTTCACACTGGTGAGCGATGTGAAGCTCTTCTTGGGGGTTGTGCTGGCAGCGAATTGGGCCATGAACTGTTGGGACAGCTGTTCGTAGTTGTCGATAGATCCGGGCTTTAGTTGCCCGAACCATTCCTGCGCCGGTCCCCTGAGGGTGCTTAAGAAGAGCCGGCAGATAGCCTCGTCGGATGCTCCCAGCATGGAAAGGTTCCCCTGGAAGCTGATCAGGTGAGCCTTGGGATCCCCGGTCCCATTATACACTATCCCCTGGGGGGGCCTGCAGTCCCGCGGGATCTCTGCATTCATGACCCTCGGAGTGAAGGGCGAGGTGAGGGAAAAACGGGGCGTGGCTGGGACGGCCACCGCCCGTCTGTCCATTTCGGCTATTCGCTGCTCCATTGCCTCTAGCCGGGCCTCCTGTGCGGCCCTTCCGGGGGACACAGGAGGGGCGGCCTCGAGCGCAACGTTCCTTCGAGGGACAACCGCGTCGGGTTGCCTCCGGGTAATATGGGCACAATGCCTTTGGAAACGTCGTCCAATATTACTGGCAGCGGGGGCGATGGTGGTGCCCTGATGTTCTGAGGGAACGTCCGGCGTACGCCCCCGATGATCGTCCTGCCAACCATACCGAGGGGTGCTGGCGTTAGTGTGCCCCCCAGCTTCGTGGGAGGACGGATTTTGACCCAACCTCATGTGGATGGGCGTCCGACGCCCGGCAGATTCCACTGTCTCATCCAGGGACTGCATGCGGTGGATAGGTGATATGGGCGTCCAGATGGTGTTAGCTGAATACACCTCTTCGTTCGCCTCCTGTTCGTCCGCCATTCGGCGCATCGTTTCCGCCAGCTCCCTCATGAGTCGAGGGTCGCGCCTGGCTTCATGGGGGATGAGGTTTGTGAGGCCACCCTCTCCCCCAGTTGTCCCCAACGTCTCGGAACGTTCCGTAGTTTGCCCGCGGTTGCTTCGTCCGCGGGACAGCTGCTCGGAGAGGTCACATTGGCGGTTGTTTCTTGTCATCGTGCTTGCTGTGGGTAGAATTAGTAGCTGTTTGGGAGAGTTTTTTGGAAACTTTTAGTTCAGTTTCCCACAGACGGCGCCAGTGTTGAGGTTTATTCCTTCAACCCCCGGGTCCAACACGTAAGCCCAAGGATCTCGAATGGAGTGTGTGTGAATAAACTAGCCCAACAAGCAGATAATAGGGATCAAGAAACGGTAAAGGTAGCAAGTAAGTGATTAGGTATTATTATCTCTTAATAACTCCCTAATACAATACTTTTCGCTAAGGCTCCGTCGGCCGTTCGTCTTACAAGGCAATGGAAAGTTGCCAACCCTTTACAATGAAATAAATGCTTCTATTTATACCCGCCAATGGACAGGTGGCTATGCTGACGTGGAGGCCTGTGGACCGCTTGTGTCCCAACCACCAAATCTTCAGCATTAAATGCGCTTCCCGCCAGAATCTAGGTTTCCCGCCTAAATAATGGGGACGTTCGTCCGCCTGGGAAGCGAGCTGGATCGCTCCAAGTGATCCTCAAGAGGTTTCGGCTGTTCGTCTCCTGGCCTTGTGGATTCTCTCCATGTGGACTGGATTTCCTCGGATAACTATAGGCTTGCCATGGGGACGTTCGTCGTCATCCCCTGGTAGCCCGCTGGGCCTGAACTCCCAATCCCAGACGTTCATCCTTCCCCAAGGAATATGGGCCTGCGGGCTGGCCTTGTGGTCTGATTGGATGCACGTCTGGTGAAGAAAGGGTTAGTGGGCCGGACCTCGGCTTGGGCCCTTAACCCAACATTACTGTTGTGTTAGAAATTATCATTTAGTCACATTTTTGTTCACAAATTTTGTTTTAGTACTCCATCTGTCTCGAAATTAACTCACAACTTTCTTCTTAGAGCAGTCTTGAAATTAACTTCTCATTTTTTCCTAGTTTCTTATTTGACAAATTATCTACATCAAAACGGTGCAAAACAGTGTCAAATAGTGTCAAACGGTGTTGAAGCAGTGTCAAAACAGGAAAACTTACCCCTAGTAAATTTATTCCCTTAACATGTGTGAAATCCAAGTGGGAACTTAATTTGGGAATGGAGGGAGTAATATTTTATGAAAAACTTAAAAATAATACGTAATACATACGGAGTATATGACTAAATTAAACAAAGTGGGTAAAATGTGACCTGGTAATTTAGGAAAAAGCTCATTAGAAATAGATAACTAAACTAATTAATACTTGTATAAAATAATAGATCAAGTCCCATAAATTTTTAGAGTGCGCTGTCTTTTAGTCACGCAGCTTTGTCACTAGTTTGCCGTATACTACAATGGAACTTGTTGGAGATTAATTTGCACTATATATAGTCACTACAAAACATAAATTAAATTTGCATAGTCAATATAGATTATAGATGAAATTTACCTTTGTTATTTAAAATCAAGAATTCAAGATACAAAGTATTTTGTCGCAATAACAAACACCCATGTTATCATGATGAATGTTTAAAATTAATTTCTAAATTTCTTGAACACATACTAGCCTCCCTTCCTCCCATTAATTTTGTTATGAGCAAAACTTATAAATTAAAAAATCAGATTTAAATATTTTCATTGAGAAAAATTAATAGTATTGGAACATGTAAGTAATGTAAAATTCAAATTGTTACAATATATATATTTAATTAAGCACGTAAGCATTTAAAATGATAAATTAATTGAAAATAGGAGAATATGGAATATGGAAGAACATACACTCTAACATGTTTACTCTATCAGTAGTCTATCCCGCGATCTACAAGTCAAGAACTCACAAAAACCTGAATGCATTTTTATGCCACTAAGTTGCTCGAAAAATATAATGAATATATGGAGCACGCGGTTTATGAAGACAATAATGGCCCTTAAAAAACAATACAATTAATAAACCTGAAAGTAAGGAAATACATACTGCATATGGAAGAACATAATATTTTACTTCCACAAACAAACACTTAAAGTTTGCTGCAAATACACATATGACACAACTTGTACCTAAAAACATACCAATTACATGATACAGCTATGCATGCCTCGCTTACTTGAGAGCTGTGACTGATGATCCAAACCCCATCTAAAGTATACGTAAATAAACATTTGAAAAATAATTATAATTAGTTCATAACGTACCAATTCCAATCGCATTATTAAAGTCTAAGAGACAAGTCAAGTTGACCAAATTCCTCTTGACCATTCCCACCAGGCTTGTGCCCATTCTCGTTTCTATACCCATAAACCACTTCCCTCATTCCAAAGCTTGCACCATCTCCAAACCTAGCTGCATGTCCTTGGCCATAGCCCGGTCTAGTGGTTCCCGGTTTGAGCCGCGGGCTGTATTCCGTATACGGCTGGACGTCTACTAGGTTCATCATCTCCATGCTCTTCTTGGCTAGGGTTCTCTCCAGCTTATGTGCGTTTTGGTGCCCTCCCAAGGCTTGTGAGCTATAGAACTTCCTCCGGCAATAGTTGCACGAAAATACCCGCAACTCCGCTTGACTTAGCGGAGCGGGCAAGCTAGCGGATGGACACGCCAGCCGCTTGAACTCATTCTTGGATGATAGCAGGCTCAAGTTGAGGGTTGTGTTTGGCTCATAACTCATGGTTCTGCTCAAGATAGTAGTATTAATTTGAGTACGTGTGATAATGGGGAATAACTATGTTTTTATTATTACATGCAACTTGGGAATTATATAGTACTATACGGAGGAGTATATGATATGCAAAGAGTGTATGTGTAAGAGCTAGAGATAGTAGTGGATGGTGGGGTAAAAGTAGAATAAATATAATTCTAGGTAGCTAAGCTAATCTAACTTGCATTATATCATTATTAAATTTTGTGCTAAGCTTTAGTCTTTGCCAGCAACCACAAAAGAAATGAAGTGTATAAATAAGAGTGAAGAAGCACATATGAAGCTGAGAGAGAGAGAGAATGACATATAGAGAGTAATAACCTCCAAATACAATACGGATTCAAGGACTTGTCACCACCATTAATGGCACCCTTCATGTCAATTGTCAACCATGGTTAGGTTAGAAAAAGTCTTTTCATTTTTGTTATTTTGTGATAATCGAGGCGTTTCGATCTCGTCGAGGCCTAAGTCATCATTGATAAGATGATTTCAGTCCCGCAGAACTACCTCTACGTTAAGACTACGTAAATGGTGAGATGAGCGTCTTGAGTACGCATTATGAACTCTCGATTTGTGATCGAGTTTAGAAGTTCAAGTCTATCTTAGAGAAACTTTAATGGAACGTATATTATGGAGGGGTATCGTGATAATGTGGGGACTCATAGTAGAAATATTGGGCATGATAGAAGGAAGTCTATAGAAAATTTCATCATATATCCTTAATTGAGATGACACTCGAACCTACAACTTTCTTTTCAGAAGATTAGCAGTGATGCAATGAGACTAAAAGCTACTCCACTATATAATGAAAATCTTAGGAATTGAGTACTTGTCCTCGATATATTTTTGATAAGCTGAATAGCATTCTCTTTAAAAATTAGTCAAAATTCTGTATGAACATTTTCATGGGAATATAATGCACAATATGCATGTATGGGGTATAAAATGAGACGTCTAATCAAGTATCGGGTCACACTTTGATTTAAGTTTAGTCATCTTATTACCTAGCTAGGACAAAACAGAGATGATGTCTTACGCACTTTTCCTATAAAAGTACAAAGTTTTGTTTAAGATCAAACCAACTTGACTCAACCAAAACTCTAATAAAATAATGCACCTTTTTGCCATCTCCTTAGAAAAAGTCGTTTACGGGTGCAGTGGTGCACCCTGCAGTGAGACACTAATAAAGAGTTTACTACCAATGGTATGTCTGAATTCTGGTTGTGTTTTTTATATTGTAACAACATTTCCCTCCATTTATTTATTTTGAACCTTTAACTTGTTTTTTTTACTGTGCTTTCTTTTTATATTGTAACAACATTTTCCTCCGTATAAGTTACTCCAAGTGGCACATCTTAAGTTTTTCACTTGTCTCTTTTTGAACGTTTTAGCTAAATGTTCTCCTTTTATTTTAATAAATAATCACCAGTCTTAATGCCAACTTAATCATAAAATATAATATTAAAAATAATACATGCGCAGTATATAATATCACAATTATCATCAAATGACTCATTATAGAATATGTATTCACCAAAGTTACTTCTCAAAATATACTCGGATTACCATATTATTTAATTGTTGCCTAAGTAATTACATCAGTTCCCATGGAAATGAGAACCTTAAATGATTGATAAAAAAGTAATTGCCCTAAATGAGACTAAAACATTGTATAAACTCCACAATAGGCCTTTAAGTTTATTATTCCCTAAATAGGACTAAAGATTACACTTTTATTCCTGAATCAATTAACCCTACAAGTCTGCCCCTGCAATTCATCGCATCACTCCCGTCGCCGGCTCTGTAATTCATCGCAGCACATCTCTGCCTCCCATGGACTGCTGCTCCAACATCGATCGTGGCCTCGCATCACTGTTCCGTCACCCTGCACTCATCAGCAACCAGGTAAGTCTTCTTCTTCTTCTTCTTCTTCTTCTTCTTCTTCTTCTTCTTCTTCTTCTTATTCCTCCTCCTCCTCCCCCTCCTCCCCCCCTCCTCCTCCCCCCTCCTCCTCCTCCTCAAATTTCTGGTCCTCTATTCTCTTTTTCTTTGGATTCTATGGAATTGAATTTTATTTATTAATTTGGATTTTTTGGATTTGAATTGTATTTATTCAGTAAAATGCCACTTGTATAATATGAGAATGTCAAAATTATTGGTTATTTGAAGAAAAAAAATATCACGTTTGTGACATTATATTTACCAGGATGACAATCTGAAAATGTCACTTTTCTTTCGAAAAAGTCATGAAAGTGACAAAGGATCTGCCCTCCAGTGAGTCTGTGCAGACCTCCATGAGGAATGCCACTTGATATGCGAGAATGCCATAAATTGCCATAAGAATTGAATGACATTTTCTTATGGACATGACATTTTCAGATTGTCATCCTGATAAATATACTGCCACAAATGTGGCAGTTTTTTCAAATAACCAAAAAATTGATTTTCCCATATTATAAAAGTGGCATTTTTGAAAATAATCAAAATTAACAGGCCTAGGAAGAAGAACAAGAGAAAGAAGATGAGTAGGAGAAAGAAGGAAGAAGAAGAAGAAGAAGAAAGAGAATGAGAAGGAGATTACCTGGGAAATTGCAGAAGAAGAGATGCCCTACTATGGAAGTTTTCTAGTGTGAACAGAGGATTGCGGCCTTGGAGGTTCTAGCATAGGTGATGAGTGCAGCTATGGAGATTCAATTTTGCCGTCCATGGGAGGAAGGATCGCAGCGTGCTCTGGAGCAATAGCAATGGAGGTTGTCGTGTATCGCTAGTGTGCATCGGTTTTTTTAATTAAGGGTAGTTTTGTCAGATCGATTACCTATTTTTAGTCCTATTTTTGTCAAATAAAACATAGCAGTCCTATTTTTGCAATTCTACCTTGTTTTAGTCTTATCTAGGTAAACCTCTCTTGATCAAACCATTATGAAGCTCGAACTCCAATTCAGTTTGGGGGGAAGTAGGCACCATAATTTATTTGTTTTTAACTTTATATCACATTTTGGAATGTCACATTATCTTTGATGACTCCTATTTCGATCCTTTTTCGGGGAAAATATGTTCCATGTTAATTTGAAAGGAAAACTAATCATATTATTAATTCAAGATTTCGTTTTTCAGGTTATGTGCCCAATTTGTGTAATATTCAATTTTTTCAATAAGAAACACACAGTAACTAATATATGTATATGAAATAATTACATAAATATGATTAAAATAACGATGATTTAGAAAAATATGACTAGTTACTAGAATACTAATGAAATCATAATATAATAATTCATGTTCAAGTTTTGAACTCAAGTTACCACAACACTACGTTGTAGTAATGAATAGTCATATTTATGTAAATAAGTTTTATTTTAGTAATATTTTTGTAAAAAAAAACCCAATATATAGTTCAATTACTAATATTAATTTACATGTTTACATCGAAGAATTATTTATACATGTTCTAGAAAATTCCATTCTGAACAAGTAATATGGAAGACAATGACACCATTGGATGAGTGTGTACTTGTTTTCGTTTTGAACTTCTAAAATAGCATTCATTTATATGCAAAGAAAAAATAAAAACTCTGAAAATATTATGGAGTAGTAAATCATTGACAAAGTTCTAGAACAAGAGTAATTATGTTTTCTTCTAAAAAAAATGAAGTATAATTTACTAAATCCTATTAAAATAATAAAAGAATAAAAGTATCCCTTAATTAATACTACGTACATAGTAAGACTATACAGGGGCGGATCCAGGATTTCATGTAGGGGTGGGCTGAAACACTAAAATGATAATACATTGACAATGTTGAGGTTTATTCCTTCAATCCTTGGACCCAACACGTAAGCCCAAAGATTTCGAATGGAGTAAGTATAAGGATATCTAGCCCGACAACTATGAGATGGATCAGGAAACAAAAGTAATAGCAGGCAATGTAAATAGGTATTATTAACTTCGTAATAACTCCCCTAAATACAATCTACTTGCTAAAAAGGCACGTCGGCCGTTCGTCTTACAAGACACTTAGAGATGCTGCAAGTAAGAATGCTGAAGCTAGTATGCTAAGAATAGAAAGTTGCCAACCCTTTACAATGAAATAAATGCTTCTATTTATACCCACCAATGGGCAGGTGGCTGTACTGACGTGGCAGCCTGTGGACCGCTGGTGTCCCAACTACCAAATCTTCAGCATTAAATGCACTTCCCGCCAGAATCTAGACTTCCCGCCTGATTAGTGGGGACGTTCGTCCTCCCGGGAAGTGAGTTGGATTGCTCCACGTGACCCTCGAAAGATGTCGGCTGTTCGTCCCCTGGCCTTAGATATTCACCATGTGGACTGGGTCCCCTCCGATGACTACAGGCTTGCCCCGGGGACGTTCGTCGCCATCCCTGGTGGTCTGTGGTCCTGCTCCTTGCCCCCGTACAGCCGTTCGTCGGGATGAGTTTGCTGGGCCTGAGCCCCCAACATCAGACGTTCGTCCATCCCCAGGGACATGGGCCTGTGGCTGGCCTGGTGTTCTAACTGGACGTGCGTCTGGCGATATGGGTTAGTGGGCCGGACCTCGGCTTGGGCCCTTAACCCAACACAAGTCCCCCACTTCTGATGTTCTGGGCTCGCGCAGGACATAAGGAAGTAGGAATCCCCTCAGGGTAGACGTTCGTGTCTTGATACTTTGTGTTTTTTGCACCTGTGGGAAGCGTACGCTCGTGGTCACGGTGCTTGACAGCTGTTGACGGTTCAGGAAACGAGGTGACGGCTGATGTTGCGGCGGCGCATTTTCCCGAGGAAGTGCCATCATTACGTTCCCATCCCACGCACAGCGCGTGGGCCGGAATACGCTCCTTGCCACGTGTCAGCTCCTCGTTGGTTTCCCCATCGGTGTTTCTGCTATAAATGCCGGGTTTTCCCTCTGAATTAGGGTTCCCAATTTCTGCCCTCTTGCTTTCGACTTTTCGCAGCTCTTCAAGTCTTCCTCTCCCCTTCCGAATTCGGCTAACCCCCTTGTAAGGTAATTTTCCCCCTCTGCTTCTTTTCTTGTTCTGATTCCTAGCCGATATGACTTCGATGGAGATTTCGTCAAGTTCTGAATCCGGTTCGTCGGGTTCCTCCTCGGGCTCCTCTTCGGACAATGTGAGTGCGCGCTCCCCCGGAAGGGCCAGTATTTCCGGGACCTCTGGTTCGGCCACGACGGTGGGGACCGTCCGGGCTGATGGCGAGCCGGATGATGTGTCTCAAGGTAGTGGGAGCGACGCCGGGGACGGGGGTGCTAACGGGGCAGTAGA